TCTCCACCTTTGTCCTAGATAATTTTAATCTCAAAGTTACAATTTCAAAATTCTTATATGCACACAAATTGGTTTCTTTTATAGTTGAATTATTCTTTAATTGTGTATTGTAATTGTTATTAAAAGGATAATTCATTAATTATTATATATCCTAGTATTACATGATTGTAATTAATTCAAAGGTGAATAGCAGTTCTGTACCATTAACCAACACGTTGCGTGGTATGCTTATGACGACTACAAGAATAGAAGCCGATCATCACACTGTACTATCATGAGTAAATTAAAACTAACCTTCTGAATCCCTGTTACTGTTTTTCAATATATTCAATCGGTCAACACTTTTATACGACATAAAATTGGGTCTATCAAAAATACGACTATTATTCATGAACTCCTGGTACAATTTAACCGTTTTATTTTGTAAACGTCGAATACACCGATTTCGCGCGTACGTGTCGATTAGGTTGTCTACATAAATTTCCTAATTTCATATGGTCTTAAAATTGTTAAAAAATATAACCCAATCATACAAGTATACATTTAGACATTAATATAATTTAAACATATTTTCAATAAAACATCTCGTCTCAAAAGTTTTTACGAAAAAAAAAAAAACGATTACAAATATGAATTACAAAATTTAAAAACTGTGATGAAATTTCAACTTAGGTGAGAGTACATTTATGGATTAAACACAAAATTAAACAAAAATAATTGGTTAAAATTATTATGAAAATATTTCTTTTGGTTGTACCAACCAAACGTACCGTTCCTTTGATCCTACTCCAACGAAATAATACTAAACAAAAAACGAAAAAAATTCTTAATTATTAATTTAGGAAAATATTAGTGGTTAATGGTGAATCAATTACTCTATATATATAGTAATAAAACTGTGTCGAATAATATGAGCACTATGTTTATTAAACATACATATTAACTCAAAGTTTAACGTTCATTGCTAACCAAACCTTTCATAGCAATGTTTTTGGAGTGGCTTTGTCACCATAGTTAAACATAAAGCATATTAAATTATACAAAAAACAGATTATAATAAAATAAAGCCAATTGAGATGATTAAAAATGGATCACGTAGATTGTGTTATTTAACAATGACTGACTAGTTCACTTACTGATAGAACATTAACCAATTTACTTCAGCAACATTATTAATAACACATAATTGTTTTGTACTTAGAAAATTGTAGTCTTTGTATAAATTGCACATATCTATTTAAAAAAGAGCCCAACCTGTTGAATGATATAAATAAATAATTTTGTGAAATTGTGCAATTATATAATTTAAAATTAAAAAACCCCGCACAGGGGGTCGCTGCACAGTGGTGAAGTGGCATATTTGGATCAAGTATAAGGATATCTGACAGTTATTAAAATCACTATCATAGAAAATGCTTCGTTGCAAATCTTTAGATAGTGTTTAATTTTAAAAAATTGGTGAATTATTCCAAGATATAAAAGTGTCAGACCTTCCGGAACATTTTCAAAACTTAAATTGAAAAAGTTAATTTTTTGGTGAAAAAGTTGTCATTTTACATCCCCCTCAGTGGGCAGATAAAGGATCAAATTTACATATACCAAATGATAAGTAAAGACATCAAGCATCTATAAAAAAAAAATTATATTGATATGTTTATTTTTGAAAAAGTTACGGCAGTTTTTAGTAAAAAAATTTCGAAAATTAGCGATTTTTAAATTTATAGTTTTTTTGGAGGTTTCCACCATTTACAGGGAACGAGGGAAAATTTTTAAGGGTAATGTCTTCAACTAGATACGATTTGTGATCTTTTGACGTATTATTGAAAGAAATTGGTTTGGTGAGAGCTGAGAAAAAGTGGTAACAGACACAAAAAAAAAAAAAAAAAACATCTTAGTAAAACCAATACCTTCTCAGCTTCGCATCGAAGCTAAAATAAATATGACGAATATTATATCAAAAAAATTTGATCGATTAAATTGCGTGACACAGTTAAAAATCAACTCGACAAAAAATTCCTTTCTACATTTTTGGGAAGATCCGTTAAGATTAAAAATTAATGTTCTACCATAAAAATTTTATTCGTTATCTGAATAAACAGAACTCAGGGATTCGTTTTCTGAAGAAGCTATTTTTGTGATCTTTTCACGATTCTGTCATCCCATTTATTATCACGGCACTCGAGTAATCAAATCTCTTCGACGGTTTTTTCCTCGAAGATAGAGTTTGAGCTTATTCGTGAACAGACTTTTTTAAGTGCAGTAGGTCATGCTGAACTAGGTAAGTGCGTATATTCATTTGCATTATTTACTCCTTAATACATTACATATTAAAAAATAATAGAAAGGGCTAAATTGGGATAACTTTATTTAGCGTTTAAATTATTTAAGCTAGACTTTACATTCTCCCTTATATAATAATAATCCTCTTCCACACCTCAAATAATTTAATTATTGTTTTTATATTTCTAAATTATAGAAAATAAATGTTTTGAAATGAACTGAAATATTAAAGATATATTAATAATATTTAAAAATGAAATAAAAATATTATTTTGTCTATCGACTGTTCTTCTATATCCCAACTGTAAAATAAAAAACACTGAAATAGATTATAACATTATTTTATTCTCGTCATCTGGTTGCACATAAACCGAAAAATACTGTTAAATAGATCTATTAATAGATAATAGTATATGTCCATGAATATTTTTCAATTTTTATGATTTTATGAAGTTTTATGAAATGTAGAATGATTACTGAATGTGCCTATAAAAAGTATGACACATTCAAGATGCCCAATCACTGTTTATGACTTTTGTGGTACATTATATAAAGGATTATAATACGGGGTAGCAGAATTTACGTTTTTATAGCCAACTGGATTTTTGACGATCACAATTAAATCGGGAGGTTTTCTTCAATTATCCGCTACAGATAAGCTAAACCTGTTGATCGAAAAATGTTTTCTAAAATTTGTTTCTAATTAATTTCTACTACTATTTAATTTGCCTTTAAACGATGACTTTGAAAAACAAATCATAAACGATATAAGTCTTTCTGCAAATTTCTGCACACATGAATATATTTATTAAATTTGTTCCTCTAAAATTTATATTTTATTTTAAATAATTTGTGCGCGTCATTATAATTTTTAAACAGTTTTTTTACCATATGATTTACATCAAAATTATAATTGCATGCATTTTGCATTTGTGCAGCGAAAACATTAGCGTCAACCTAATGTTTTTGCTGATAAAACCGGTTCTTGTGCGTCCAGCTCCTGAGCATCGCTTAAGAATTTTTAATGCTGCTCGCCAAACCTGTTAAAAATGTAATCATTAAACACACCTTACACTAACTATAATGATAGCCTTAAAAGTTTCCAACTGTGACTGGACACTGATTTACTGTGAATGGAATCAGTGTTGCAACCAGAAAAAAGTTTTGTTTTTATGAGAGGGAATCGTTATTTTATTTTTTTCGCCAAAAATTTTTTATTCTACATCGCTAATTCGAACATTATAATTGAACGAAAACAGAGGTTATGACGTTTATTTTCAGTGTAAAATAAAAATTATTTTTTTTATTGAATAGTACCGATGTGTAATAAAAGAATTTTGAAGACGATCTTATTTATTTTTTACTAATGAGTTTTAATATGTTAAAAAAATACATAAATAAATTTAGTTCCACCTATTTAGTACTACTTTAATTTGTCGACAGAAGTTATTAAGAAAGTATATAAATTGATAAACATTAAAAATTATTTTTTCAATTATTATTTATTACGCAGTTTTTGAATTCAATCAACATAGCATTTGAACATAAAATTATTTTATTTAAGATAACTTTATATTAATAAATTCATTTATTTAATAAAGTATTGTAACAAAGAAAAATCACAAAAAATAATAATTACAATAAGCTTATAAAACGTAAGAAAATGTTAGGAAGTATAAAAGCGTATTAACAAAAATATCAATTTAATGTAAAAATTGGGAAATTTATATAAGCCATTTAAGCAATATCTTTCATAAAAAATTATAAAAATAGTTGGCCGGCTATAATTTCTTCTCTGTGTCTTAATCTTACAGAAGGCATAAGACTCCCATTTATAGGAGTTGTGTCTCCACGTGCAATTTTTTCGGCTAGCTCGATCGTAAATGGACCACAGTCATACCCATTAGTTTGGCGAGTCGTCTCGCCGATTTTTAAAGTCCAAGACGAAGCTGCTCCCTTTTTATCCATCTCCCAGTCAGTTAGATACTCCTTCAGTACCATAGGATAAGGACCATCATAACACTTAAGACTGTCATATGATGTCACAGTTCTTTCGGGTACGTTTACCACAGTCAATATCCAATGTCCGCCAAAAACATTCATTGGCACAAAAAGTAACTATAATGAATGGATATCTTTTTTTATCCATCTTCTGACAGCTGGATAACCTCCTCGAAGATATGCTGGTATGAAGTCGGTAACGACAGCATGAACTTCGCCATTGGACCTTTTCACTATCAATTTGAGATAATCATTAATTGTGTCCGAAGTGTACCAAGATTTAGGGGACTTAAACGAAGGCGCGTTATACTGATCTAGTTCATTTGTGTTCGGATCATGCGTCACTTCTACAAGAGTTAAAAACTTCTCATAAATTACTTAAGCTAGCTAAATGGTTTAATATGAGTAAAATTATTCCTAGGTTTTGAAATATAAGATTAAACATAGTTAAACAAAATATGTGTTATAGATGTTTCTATGTGAAATAAATATTAATGAAATCAATAAAATAAAATAATTTTACTTTACCTATTTCTTTCTTTGGTATTTCATCAATTTTGACAACGGACACGGCAGGCAACAGTTCATTCATATTTGAAGGCGAAACTTCAGAAATAACTTTAGACTCTAAAAAATTAATGTATAAAAATAGTGCTTAAATGTTACAATAAACTAATGAAAGGTCAAATTTTTAAAATAGAATTATTGTCTACTTTTTATGATTTTCTCATCTTTTTCGGATGATTTTCTCTTTAAATTTGTGCTTTCGGGAGATGATAACTTTTGTTGTTGCTCTTTTGCTCCATATTTTGTGTGTTATAAATGGGTTATTTGTTCTTCTAGAGTTTCTTTGACTTTATCAGTAGACACTTCCGGTAATGTAACGTCATTTGACGTTGTCGCATGTAAAAGTTCAGAACTAATTTTTGCCTCTAAATTTATTTATGTTTTAAAATATAAGAAAATAATTTCAATAAACATAATTTTCTAGTTAATATTTATAAAAAAAATTATTGTGTACTTTTTATGCTTTTCTCATCTTTATCGGATGACTTTCTTTTTAAATTCGAACTTTCAGAAGAAGATATTTCTAGGAGCTGCTCTTTTACTTCATATTTTGCGGGTTCTAAATGAATTATTTGTTCTTTTAGTGTTTCTTTTACTTTATCAGTAGACACTTCAGGTATTATAACGTCATTTGAAGGTTCATTATTAGCTTCTAATTCTTTAAGTATTAAGAGTTTAAAGTATAAAATAATTGTTTCAATAATCGAAATGTAGTTTAAATTTTTTTATGTACTTTTAATGACTTCATTATGTTCTTTGGATAAGTTACTTTCTATATTAGGGCCATCATTATCATTGGAAGATACTTCTATGGGTTGCTTTTTTTCATCGCATTTGTTGCGATGCAAGTGATTCTTATGAAAACTCTTAACGAATCATAAGAACATATTAAATTATAGGATAAATTTTAGTTAATTTATTTAAAAAAATCTACGTTAAGTCAAAAGAAATGTTTAGGCTACATATTGATTCTATTAAATATAAAAAAATACAAAATAAAATTTACTTTTCCTAATAAATATTTTGGTATTGTTGGTGTTTTGTCATTATTTAGAATTGGCATGTAACTCCTTTTTTGTGGTACTGATAATTTTTCTTTATACTTTCCTGATTTTTCATTTTTTATCAGTGTTGTAATATCTCCTCGCTGTATCAATTTCTAGGCGTAACTAATGACAAATTAAAATGAATAATTGAAATAGAATGAATATGTTATTAATATCTTCCATAAAAAGTCTCTATTCTTTAAAAATCTTTTTGGAAATCAAAAAGATTAAGATGTTAAAATTGAAATTATTTAACATCTATTACTAATATCTCGAAAAATAATACATTTATACAGCTGCTAATAATAATAACAAATATTAAATTATTTCTACTAAATTGTAAGGATCGATATATCTATACAATTTGAATTACCACTTTTTCTGCAATAATTTCATCGCTTTCAAGTTGTTTACGATAGGTTCGTTTTTTTGGTGTAACTGTATTTTTTTCAGTGTTAATATTTCCACTAGAATTTGCTGTTACGAGAATATTATTTTAAAAGTTATTAATTAAATAGTTAATTTTGAAAATGTTTACGGTGAAAAAATGCATTGACGTTGATATCGTATCTACTCTAATGTTTATAATTTACGAAATAGTGAATAATATTAAAATTTTTTTATCTACAATAAAAAAATAATTATTATTTATCAAAAAGGGAATAATCTTTTTTAATTTCTTGTTATATTTTATATCTAATCGTTTTCATGTCTCTTTATAATTAGTTTAATTAATCATAATAGTGTCTATAGTTATTAATTTCACCTGTAGACTGTCTTGATATTTGGGGTTCTTCTGGACTATCAACGACTAAATTGGAACTCATGAAACGACGATTCCAGAATTCTTCAATTCGGCGTTTCACAACATTCATATTTGTTTCATAAATATGACTATCCGTATTGTTTNATATTTGTTTCATAAATATGGCTATCCGTATTGTTTTCGCTTGCCATATTAATAATTAATTAGTTAAATAACTTTGAATACTTACACGAGATGATAGCTTATTATGACGAGCAAACACAAAGTGATCCCAATGTCAACATAGACAACGGTTATATATGATAAAGTCATGATTGTCATGGAGAGTTCATTCGTTATTAAAAGTCAAAAGATATGTTTAGGCTACTTATATAATGTTTGAATATAAAATAATGCAGAATATAATTTAATTTTCCTAATAAATATGCTGGTATTTTTGGTGCTTTGTCATTTACAATTGGTATATAACTTTTTTTGGCCGGAACTGATAGTTTCTCTCCATATTTTCCAGATTTTTGATTCCTTATAAGTGTTCCAATATCTCCTCGCTGTATCAATTTCTAGGCGTCACCAATGACAAATTAAAATGAATAGTTGAAATATAATTAATATGTTATTATTATCTTCCATAAAAAGTCTCTTTTCTTTAAAAATCTTATTGAAAATCAAAATGATTAAGATATTAAAATTGAAATTATTTAACATCTTTTACTAATATCTCTAAAAATATCCAGAAACAAAAAATAAATATATTAAATATATTTTATAACTGTTGTATATTTAAAAATGTATATCTTATTGTTTATTAATAATATACAGTATGATATTAACTTAATTTTATTGTAGTTAATTTGTGAATGTATTTTGTACTTACAATTTTAACAAAGTAAATGATTCTATTATGTTATGTAATAATCTGTATATTTTAAAATATCTTTACTACCCCAATCCAACCTATTATTATTATCTAATAAAGTTTCCTTTTCTATTTTAACTAAATGGATGTTTCTATATTAGTATTTCTATGTAAAATTTAGTTTATAGATATGTGATAATTTTGGCTTTGACACCATTCAGAATTAAACAAAATAAGTATTTGTTAAGTGTTGATATTGGTAACATTTTCCGAATACATATTCGCAATTTTTTAATAATTTTTTTGTGGCTTTTGGAGTTAAATATTTTTAATATAGTTTTAATTTTAAAAGATATTTGCCATAAGTGATCAATTTTTATTATTAAAAATACCAATTACAAATAAAAAATTTCTTGATGTTGTTTTGATAAGGTGTAGAATATTTAGTGTAAGGTATCCACTTAACATCTACTAAGAATGGAGAAAAATATATATTTCTACTCAATATGATGCTATAAACTGAGTACTCAAAATAATATGTGAAATTACACACCAAGTCAACAATATATTATGATATAATATACAATGCATAGATAATATTATCTATATATTATCATAGACAAGTTTTTTAATAAAAATCATTTAAATAATGAGTATTTGAGTAAAAATGTATACTATAATTTTTTAATTTAAATAAAATGTATTGCTTTAAATANAAACTGGTTTGGTTAGCGGTGAGCGTGTGAACTGTTGCATTAACGGATTTGTGTTTAACTGTAGAATTTGGTTGAACGTTGTTAGTTTTGGAAATTGTATTTCCTTTGTTTATCGAATTTATCGAGTAAGTTTTGCTGGAGAGCGATGATTTGGGCGTAGAGCCCGGTTTGCTAGGTTTCATAGTGGTAGTATGTTTTATATAAAATTCATATTACCTGAAATGTTCCGTGAGACAGTAGTGCTATCGAGAGCTTAAAAACGATATCGCGATAAGAAACACACGTGCTGCACTGTCGGGTGTGGAACACGTACTGTATAATCTTTAGTATTATTTAATATTTACAAAGAGAGTAGTTTACATAATAAATAATTTTTAACAATGATTTGTTTTTTTTTTTATTAACATGTTTTTTTGTGTTATCACACCTTACACTTTCTTATCATATTATAGAGATAGAAAATATTTTCTTTACATCTCCCCCTCCCACTGTGAAAATTCTTATGAGAATTTTTATTAGCTCTTGATTATTTTGGTAATAATTTTGTAATGTGGAATAGTCCTATTTCTTCATTCCTTTTTCCTGTTTTAATTTTAAATATGGTATTTGATATTTTCTCTATTATTTTGAAAGGTCCAATCCTGAGTTCATCCAATTTTTTCCTGTTTAATTTATTTCCATTTTCAATGTATACAAAATCGCCTGTATTGAATTCATTTTCTTTTCTGTTTTTGTTAAATAGTTTTTTGTTATATTCATGTGATTTTATAGTGTTATCTAAAGCTATTTTTCTATCTTTCTTCCAATCTTCTGCATTTTTATGTTCTTTAAGTTCTTCGGGTAGCATATTTGTATTAGTCCCATCTAGTAGGTACTTTGGGGTAAAACCTGTTACTGAGTGTTCTGTTATATTATATTTATCAATACATTCTCTTGCTATTGTTGTCCAAGCTTTCTTTTCAGTAGATTCATTAATTCTGCATCTTATTTTATTAACAATTGTTTGGTTTAATCTTTCATTTAAGCCATTTGAAAAAGGTGCATTTAAGGCTGTGAATATAAGTCTGATATTTTGTCCTTCCAAAAAATTTTTAAATTCCTTAGAGTTTAGTCCTGGGTATTGGTCTGTTAATATTATGTCTATCTTGTTTATTTCTAGTGTGTTTTGAACTATCTTTATAAAATCGTTGGCAGCTTGGGTTTTTGAAGTATGTATGAATGCGTATCTTGTATAGTGATCAACTAAAAGATAGATGTATCTTTTCGTTGATCTTTGACCACCAAACCCACCGATCGTATCAATCGACACTATCTCCAATGGTTTTGTTGCTGGTCCTAATTGTGACATCAGTCCATATTTTGCTTGACCTCTAGATTTATTTCTTTTACAAATGTCACATGTTTTGCAAATTTTTTTTATATTCTCTATTAATCTTTTTGAAGTATAATAAGGGCATATTCTGTTTATCAGTTGATTTATGCCAATATGACACCAATCTATATGTGTATTTCTTATTAATTCAATACTCAATTTTTCTGATAATACTATCTTCTTTTTATTCTTACTTAGTTTATAAATTATACCATGTTCATCTATCATTTTTTTCTTAAGTTCTTTTAATGCAATGTTTTCATCTTGATCTTTTTTTATTTCTTGAATTTTGATTGTATTTACTATCTTTAATGCTTCTTCAGTATTATCCATTGATTCCAATACTGGGTTTCTGCTAAGACAGTCTGCTTCAGTGTTGAGTTTCCCTGGTTTGTATCTAATATTGAAATCAAATTGAGATAAGTAATATGTTAGATCACCTAACTCTTCGTCTGTTCTTGCTTTTATGTTGAGGTTCTCTAAAGGTTTATGGTCTGAATACACTTCAAATTTTCTTCCAATCAATATTTTAATTGAATAAATTGTAAATTTTAATTATTACGTTTTAACAATTTCACTAAAATATTATCATATAGTGCATCATAGTTTATTATTATCAAACTATTAGGCTCATAAATACATTTCTAGAAAGAATATTGTGACAACGTATTTATTTTTTTCACATTAAAGTAATCATAAAAATCTTCAATTTGATACAGGTTGAAGAACTAATATGTCCTTTAACATTTTCAAAAATTGACAAAAAAAATTTTTTTTGCTTTTTCGTTTTACATAGTTAAATATATTTTACATAGTAAAACAATCAAGTGATGGATTGTTTTTCTTATTAAAGAACACATCAAAGGGGTTAATTTCATATTACGTAAAAGTTGTCACACATTTAATAAAAAACTCATTGTTTCTTTCATACAATATTAAAATTTCAGTTCTATCAGTATTTTAAAAAATACTTATAATAGTTTTTAATTGCAGGAATTTTTTTTTAATGAGATTAAATTCTAAAATACTAAACCCAAAAATTGTTTTTGTTAGTTTCAATGCGTAGCTGTAAAGATATTGATTTTGTGATGATGTGTTCTTTTTATATGTTATCCATAAAAGTTCTCACTTCTCACTAGACCTATTTTATTGTTTAATATATCAAAAGAACTAAAATTCAATCTAGTTCAGTCAACTTTATTTCGATATAAATTAAACGTAGTCAGACATTTTGGAACATTTTCCAAAATTGAGAAAAAAGATTTACATGCTGGGTGGTTTTTCTCTAACAATTCTTGTACTTAGATTTTTCATGGAATTTTCATAAAAATTAATAAGTTAATATGAAGAAGGATCATTTTCTCTTTTTTATTTTATTAAAATTTTATTACAATCATTTGCAGCAAAGTTAATGCAGTTTTAAATTGCGGAAATTTTGTTTTTTTTTAATGCTGTTTTGTTTTTGATGTTATTGTAATTCTGAGATATTTTTCTAAATATCTAAACTTAGAGTTGTTTCATTTTTCGATATTGATAGGTTTGACTAAATTGATCTAGTTCTTATGAATATTAAAAAAAAATTGGTCCAAATATAGTCGAAAATTCTTAAGAAAGACAAAAAGAATACGCATGATAAACTAATATTTTCTCAGTTTCGCAATGAAGCTAAAATAAAGTTTCTATTTGATAATCGAAATTTAATACGATTTAGAGTATAAAGAATGGCAACTGAAAATTATTTTTTCGTGCAAAACAAAATACCATTATTGTTAAAAAAATTGAGTTATGGTTATTTCTAATATTTTAGAATATTGTTCATGTAGTGTAACAAATCAATCATCATTTATATGTATTAGATAATAAATGTAATATTTTACATTAATATTTTTTTTTTTGTAAAATAAAGAAAATTATTGGAAAACCCAAACCAATGCGATGTAGTTGCAATTAAATTTAAACTAATTTAACATATAATTAAAAAATTATTCATTTACAGGATTATTTTTTTGCGCATTAAATTTTGGCATTTTTACAAACAAGATTATTTTAAAATAGTATCTAGCAAGATTTTGAAAATGTGTAAATTTAGAAAGTCATTCAGTTTTATTACCAGTCATTTTCTTTTATACCAAGAAAACCTGGCTGCTGACTTTATCCACACTATAAATATAAGATGTCACCATCAATACAAATACAATCTTTTCATTATTCCAAATAAATACAATGGTTAAATACAGTGGTGCCATTTATTTTAAACAGTTATTATAAAATAGAATTAGTTTTATTTTTGGTAATTTTGCTCACATATTAATTTTATTAGCTTCGATGCGAAGCGGAGAAAGTATTAATTTTACTATGATGTGTTTTTTTTTTTCATGTCTGTTGCCACTTTTTCTCAGCTCTCANTTTTTTTTTTTTATGTCTGTTGCCACTTTTTCTCAGCTCTCACTGGACCGATTTCTTTCAAAAATACGTCAAAAGATCACAAATCGTATCTAGTTGAAGACATTACCCTTAAAAATTGAAAAAAATTCCCTCGTTCCCCGCAAATGGGGGAAATATCCAAAAAAATTACAAATTTAAAAATCGCTAATTTTCGAAATTTTTTTACTTTTTTTTCTTAAAACTTCCATAACTTTTTGAAAAATCAACAAATCAACATAATTTTTTTTTATACTAAAATCTTAAATATCTACTTTTCATTTGATATCATTTTTTTGAAAATCTATCACTTAACCTGCTGGGGATTTAAAATGGCAACTTTTTTACAAAAATTAACTTTTTCAACTTAATTTTTGAAAATGTTCCGGCAATACTGCGTCCTTCAAACATATATCAAATTAAAACTAATGTAATGTACTATAAAATGAAAAAAAAATTTGTCCCGACACTTTATCTACTATGAGCAAATTGCTGTCGAAATTAAAAAAAAATGTAATATTTGCGATAAAAATCACCTTCTATAAGGATGTTTTTTGTACTTAAAACTGCTATAGCTNAAATTAAACACTATCTACAGATTTGCATCGAAGCGTTTCTTATGATAGTGATTTTAATCACTGTCAGATATCATCTATACTGGTCCCAACTATGCCACGACCCCACTGTGCCGCCACCCCACTGTGCGGGGTTTTTTTTTTACTTAAAACTGACATAACTTTTTATTTTATAAATTTAAATGTGTACTAATTTTAATTTACTTACATATAATTCTAGTGTATGAGGTGTACTATCTAATAATATACTTCAAAAATATATTCTTATTTATTACCCCTCAATTATTTACAATTATATAATGTACTTACAGAAATAAAATAAACTACCTAAAAATCATAATGTATGTAGATTACACAGAACCCGAAATTAGTAAATAATTGTATACAGAGTAATCAATTTATCACAAACTACTCAATTAATCGAATAACAAAAGTAATTTGGCTATACATGTTGTACTTGTAATTGCATAAATGGAAGTGAATAATGATTTATCATTAATATATAATATAATATAATATAATATTAATTAATTAAATAATTAGTAATGATTAATATTTATGAATATCATATTTTTATATGCAACATCTTTTATATGAAATATCTTTTTGGCTTTCCTGTAAAATTGCCCTTTTACAGACATGTGTTATCAACGTAAAGGTAGTGATAGTTATCAATTATGCAATTCAATTAAGTAGTTAGTTTTATTAATCAAATATAAACTTTTTCAGACGCTTTGCTTGCTGATCTGCAAAGTACTATTAAACAAGGGAATAAGACTAACAGTGGTATCAGTGGAGGTTATGGTTGTATTAACGGTTTAAAATCTCATACCTCTTCTGCTGATTCTCCAATTACCAAAAGTTATGTGTCACCAGATGATTATGCAACTGTACGATCGCACAAAATAGAACGATCATCGTCAAACCCAGCTGTATTAAATGAGTTGTCAGTAAGTAATATTTAATGTATAATTTTATACAATGTTTGATGTAATATTTCATACTTATCCTCTATTATATTAATGTACCTTTTCGGGACTGTTCTTATCATTAATATCGACTTTAAAACCTCTTTCGGTACTCTATCATACTCTTTCTCCATTTATTTTCCTCTAATTATTTCTCCTTATGCTTCTGGTGTCTTATGCGATAAAAAAATTCCAATGAGGCTGAAAGGTAAATTCTACAAGACTGTAGTAAGGCCATCTATGATGTATCTATGAATAAATGTAGCAGAGATGAGAATGCTTAGTTGGATGCATGGAGTGACTAGTAAAGATAGGATAATCGTGGATAAGATGAAAGAAAATAGACTAATATGCTTTGGTAAAATTATGAGGAGAAGAATTGGAAGCTGAAAGAACAGTTATAGAAATGAATGTTAAAGAAAGAAAAGGTAGAAGAAGACCAAAAAAGAGATGTTATTGAATGCGATATGAGGACAGCTGATGTGAGCGTAGATGATGTGGGAGATCATGTCAAATGAAGTGTAGGATAAGTGTGGCTGACCCCAAGTAGTTGGGATTAAGGTGAGGAAGAAGAAGAAGAAAATTAACAGTGTTTTCAAGAAAAGTACAAAAATTATAAATCAAATATAATACAAATATTCTTTCTAGTAATCACGTAGAGAGACTTTTTATTGCAGGTCGATTATTTGATGATAGGCGTGGATCTATTATTTATGAATACTTTGAATGATACTTTAGTTAAATTTATTAATTATGTTATTAAAATATACATATATAAAATAGGCTATATTATATTAAAATTTATATAGCTACTAGGTAACAAATTTTTAAGTATAAAAAAAAAAGTGACTTTAAATTAAAATTGTATTCCACAAACTAACTCCTATTCTAAATTAGTTTTTATATTGAAGTAACTTGACACAGTACCGTGTTTCAACCACACATCACGTTATCAATTTATTTGAAAGTGTATCGGGATGTGAATTATAAAACCACGGTGATCTGGTGGTCTCTATAACACTTAGGGCTCTAATCCTGTATCATGCCTTTTTTCACAAGATTTCTGATACACTCTCTATGACCGGTCGCGTTAAATTTAAAAAAATGATAAAATAATTATGGTCGTTAATATTTTTAAATCCTATTAGTACCTATGCAGTAAATAAAGTGTGAAAAATTACGAGGGAAGACTATAGTTTCTAAAAAATGAGAAGCGTTTCCGAGCCACAACCAATTGTCTTCTCTCAATAGCTAAAAATGATATTGATCATAATAAGCAGATATATTTACTTAGTAAAAAACAATCATCTCAATTAAGAAATAGATTAGTACCTACCTAGTACCTACCTAGTAGTACCCTTTCTACTCTTCAATGCTTAAAATTAAACTGTCCCCTTAGCATTTTGAGACTCGACTTAAAGGGGATGCTATATTTTACTTCAAATAAGGAAGGATTATGGCGAGGAAGAAGAAGAAGATTTCTTCTTTTGCTTTTCCGCTATATATTTAACTTCTTTTTCTTATTCTTTATAATTTCCCAAACGTCCTTATCCCACCACCAGGTTTCCTTATCAACTGGCTTTCTATTACTACTCTCGCCAACAATCCCCTTTGCAGTATTCATTAAACTGCTAGCATATCTCTTCCACATATCATTTATATGTCATCTTCTCAATCTAAAGTTGAGTGATGATGTCCTTCATCGTTGTCTATAATAATTAGAAAATGAGTTATTTATATTTGGTTAATTAAAATATTATTAATAAATATTATATTTTTATTGAACATGAAATAAAAATTACTAATTTATTTGGAATTTATAATATTTAATAACATTTAGATATTTAAAGTTAAATTTTGCAATTAGAAAAAAATAAGATACAATAACTTATAGGAGTTGCTATAGTCTTTTCGCTATCACATTGTCCCTTCTTCCTACAAAAATTTTCATTTTAAAGACTGGATGTGAACTAATTCAAAAAAAAATTTTTATTATAGCAAACGCAGCAAAAAAATGGGTTTCAATCATCAAAAATGACATCATCGCTTAATAATAACCTTTCTGAACTTGATACGTTGCTTCAAGATTTAAGTAACTCACGATATGCTGATAAAAAAAGTTAGTATACAATGTCAAACTAATAAATTTGAAGTTTCAACTTTATTATTGATCGGTAAAGTTGATTTGAATGGTATTTAACTAAAAGGAAAACGAAATTTTTCATCATTATGTTTTTAGTTTTAATGCAAAGCTGAGAAGTAATTTATTTTTCTATGATGTGTTTTTTATGTCTGTTGCCACATTTTCTCAGCTCTCATCGGACTGATTTCTTTCAACAATATGTTACAAAGTCACAAGTCGTATTTAGTTAAAACTTAAAACTCGAAAAAATTTCCTTCGTTTACTGTAAATGGGTAAGATACCCAAAAATGTTAAGTGTATCTGTAATCATTTAATTTTTTAAATTTTAATTAAATATTAGACTAAAAAAATATATAATTATTTTATTTAAATATATATCGACTAAGCAATTCTGATATAACTTATGATATATATTACAGATAAAACTTATTTGTTACGTATATTTCTTGATTTATAAAGTAATAATTAGTTTTTAGAATCTTCGGTATATAATTAGCATTGATAATGATCAATATTTTCCCCAAATAAAAGATTCGATGCGAGCTGATTTCTCTTACTCTTTATGATTTTCTGAACGTTCTCATCTCACCACCAGGTTTCCCTATCTACTAGAATTCTATTCCTACTCTCACCAACAATCCCCTTTGCTAATCTAATCCACACATTATTTATGTCTCAATTAACATTCCACACCACTTGTTATAATATAATGTTTTAATAGGTAATATCAATTATACACTTATATTTATTTCACCAGAAAGTTATTTTTGAGTAGATGCTTCTAATGTGTTTTGTTTAACTCGTTTTTTTTTTATACAAGTTTTTGGCAAGTATAATCTTGTTTATTTTGGAAATTATTATAAAAGAAAAAATATAGGTGTTAAAAATTTTTTCTATCCACGTTATATTTGACAAAAATATAAACATACATATATTAAATTTAAAAATTAATGTTTTATTATTGTTTTATAACTATATTTAAATAAATTAATATACTTTAATTAAATTTAGTATGAAATTAATATTGATATTAAATAATTTAGTATTGTTTTTCTCAATTTATCAGTCATGAAATATTTTTAATATTCATTTCTTATACTTTATAAGAGTATCGTTTTAAATTTTTCAAATCGGAATATAGATAACCAACTACTCTTTTTTATTAGATAATGATATAATTTCACTCTTTATTAGTGGAATATTATAAAGAAACTCCTCCATGAATTAGCGTCTTGTATATCAAATGGTGAATATGATTTAATCATCAAATACGTAAGAAGGACTTCAGTCATCGTTTCTAAGAATAACCGTTTTAATTCCTGTACTGAACATTTTTTATAATTAATATTTTTTATCAGAATGTCCGAAAATTTTTAACTAAGTTTCCTTTTAGCTTCGATGCGAAGTTAAAAAGGTATTAATTTTGAAGTTTTCTATGACCTAAAAATAAATTTGTACAAAATATCATACATTAATCTAATATACGTATATATGTAATACATAGAGAACAGCAACTAAAATCATCACTATGAAAAAAAGTTTAAGGGCATAGTAAAAAATTAACATGCAACAAAAAAATTTGCCTCTCAACATGAAAATTAGTAATTCACTATTTATTTGTTATATTTTTAAAAGTCCCCTTTATCAAAATAATAAATAACCACCTTTAAAAAACATTTATAAAGTAATCATTTTAAATATAAAAGCGTTTTTAATAAGTATGTATTTTAGCTTCGATGTGAAGCTGAGAAGGTATTAATTTTACTATGAGGTGTTTTTTTTTTGTTTGTTTGTTACCACTTTTATTCAGCTCTCACTGGACCGATTTCTTTCAACGATTCGTTAAAAATTGAAAAAATTGTCCTCGTTCCACGTAAATGATAGAAATCTCCCAAAAAATTTCGATTTTTAAAATCGATAAAGTTTGACATTTTTTTCTAAAACTTTCCATAACTTATTGAAAAATGAACAAATCTAAATAATTTTTTAATTTCAATCTTAAGTTATTGAAATTTATTAAATAAAATTTTAATAGCTGTTCTTACAGCTTCAGATTCTTCTCTCCTCATAACATGACCAAATCATCTAAGTATATTTTCTTTCAACTTATCTACGAATGATCCTACACCTATATTCCCTCTATTATGTTCGTTCCTTATCTTATCTTCTTTAGTAACTCAACTCAAAGCATTCTCATCTCTGCTTCATTCATTCTCTGCTCTATTCCCTTGTCAACCGCCCAACACTCTGGACCATACATCATAGCTGGTCTCATTACAGTCTTTTAGAATTTATCTTTCAGCCTAATTGGAATTCTTTTATCATATAAGACACCAGACGCTTCCCTCCACTTCAACCACTCGCACTTAATCCTATGTCTTACATCCTCGTCAATACTACCGCTCTTTTGTACAAGTGATCCTAAATACTTAAAATATTCCACCTCTCCAATCACGTCCTCGCCTATTGTCACTGATCTCCTCATTTCACCTACCTCGCATTCTTCTTTGTCAAATTCATGCTCTATGTACTGTGTCTTACTTCTACTTATTCTTAAACCCTTTCCTTCAAGAGCTGATCTCCACACCTCTAGCCTTTGATTAATTTCCTCCCTATTTTCTCTTATTAACATTATATCGTCAGCGAATCATCCCTTGTAACTTAGAGTGTTAATTTTATTTTTTTTAATAGCAACATACATATTTAACTAGCCTATAAAATAGAAAATAATTTAATTATGAAAATGGTGATCATTCTAAAAACTAATCATTACCTTATAAATCAAGAAATATACATAACTCAAAAAAAGCAAAATGTTTTTCAATATTGTATATTTTTAAAGTGATCGAATGGTTTATGATAAAGCGATCACTCTGTATAGATTAAGCCAAATAAGTTTTATCTGCAATACATATCTATAGCTAAATTAGAATTGCTTAGTCGATATATATTTAAATAAATGGATTATAAATTTTATTCAGACTTATATTAAATTAAAACTTAAAAAATTCAATTATTACAGATAGACACTTAATATTATTAAATTGTTATTGTAATATATTATAATAATATAATTAGTATATACTAGTTAAATTAATAATTATTGGTTTATATTAAAAAACGGTAGCACAGTGGGGTCAAGGCACAGTATGGACGTGGCATAGTTGGGACAAGTATAGATGATATCTGACAATGATTAAAACCACTATCATAAGAAACGTTTCGATGCAAATCTGTAGATAGTGTTCAATTTGAAGAAATTGTTGATAATTTCAAAAACAACAATAACTCTTATTCCTTTAATTTTATCCCGATTAGTTATTTTTTGGGGGATTTCCCCCATTTACGGGGAACGATGGAATTTTTTTTAATTTTTGAGGGTAATGTCTTCGACTAGATACGATTTGTGATCTTTTGACATATTGTTCATCAAAATCGGTCCAGCGAGATCTGAAATTGGGTGTTCACAGACACAAAAAAAAACGCATTATTGTAAAATTAATACCTTCTCAGCTTCGCATCAAAGCTAAAATGATAGCATATTATGGTATAGTCGAGACAAATGTAGATGATATCTGACAGTGATTAAAATTATTACCATAAGAATTGCTTCGATGTAAATCTGTATATAATGTTTAATATTATGAAATTGGTGGTTTATTTCAATAGTAATTCTTAATTAGTAACTCATAATTCCTTAATTATATCCTAATTAGTAGTTCTATGATTTATAAGTATAATATATTAAATAAATTTAAACCAAAAAAAGTCTATATTAAAAGTATTTATTATCATTGATCTCTTTATCTTACCTACCTTGTGTTCTCCTTTTTCAAACTCGTACTCTCAAAATCCAAACAGATATCCTCTATAATTATAGAAAGCTAATACATTTCTTAAAAGATATTGATGCCCAATTCCACACCTATCAGTTTCATTTATACAAATTCTTAATAGTTTTTATTAGAAATTCATACCCATCCACCCTAGTAGTCTCAACACTAGAAGAAATAGGTCACACTGTCAAAAATTTTACCAAAATCAATCATCAACTAATAAAAACTCTCTTGTCCCTTTTTTTTCGATATAGACCCCAAAGGGAGTGATAATAACATTTTTGATATCTTCTCTCTCCTACATAATAAGGTTAAAGTTGAGGAACCTTAAAAAGACGAGATATTCTACAATGTCAGACTGTTAAGCTTATGGCCATACCCGTACCTACCGCGCACATCAACCAAAGTGGGTCAAATATGGGGGAAATCACTTCAATCCGTCTAGTAAAAAATCACTAGATATACCTGCTAAATGCACACTCTATGAATGACCATATTCAGCGAACTATAAAGGAAGTCAAATATATAAAAAACTAATCATAAATAACACTCTAAGCAAGAAACCATTACAACCACCACCACTGAAACCGCACTCCAATCCAGAGCACTGCCATCAACAACCAGCAATTGAAAACTCGCTAAATGTACATTCGTATACAAATGTAACCTGGGGTAACCAACTCAACTCAATTCCTAGCTACACTTCACTACACTCTAGCTTAATTAAGTAACTTTTTCTTTACACTTCCACATAAATTCATAATAGGAGGCGACATCAATGCAAAAAACAAACACTGGGGTTTTTTACGAATAACCATCGTGAAAACACATGCAATCTCCTCCCTCATTTACTTATTGGTCACCCACCCAGAAAAAAAACATATATTTTTGTTTTTTATTTGTCTAAATTACCAAATAGTGTACAGACCTTGACACTAATTTAAACTATCTGTGCTCTGCTACTCATCTATCCTTCTAACAATTGATATTGCTCCCTTAAATAAACCAATACAACCCACTCTCATCCAAGGCTGAATGGATTGGGTCAAGTTCAGATTAACCATTGAAAACCTAACCAATTTTAAACTTAGCTTAAAATTCTCTGATTAGATAGATGAAGCTGTAAATCATCTAACTAAA